AGGCAATATCGATCGCCGGGCGGTCACATCTCGCTACGCGCTCGAATTGGACAGTGGGCAGAGCAAAGACGACGATTTTCGATAATTTTTTTCTCGTTAACTATTGCGAAAATTGCAAAATGTTTCAGGACTTTTCTGTTCATCTCGATCCGTTCTACCTTCTCACAAGCTCGTGGACAAATGTTATAACTCACCCTGTATATATACACAGATATATTTGCAAGTATAATTAAACATGAATATTCTATTAAAAACAAATAATATATTCTACATTTTTATTTAAATCTTAAAAACTATAATAATATAAGTCTTTAATGAAAAGTTGTGGTAAACGTGTGACAATTTCATATTGTCAGCACTTTGTCAGCAACAAGCTACGATTAAAAAATCTTCATAGCTTGAAGACTTTACGCAACAACGGATGGAAATCATTATATATGTATTGTTGCCGTCACGTTTTCATCATAATGCTGAAGATAAAACGATATATAATTTCTTGCTGTCATGTTGCTGACATGTTGCAGACAACATAACACTTCTGTATTGCGCATCGTTTGCTTTTGAAATTTCGTCAAGTTATTGCATGTATAAGCAGTCATGTTGCTGCATTCATATCGCGTTCTATTTTGATGTCAGCAAATATATAATAACACGTGCAATGCATTAGTTTTCTCAAAATGACACGCTTGGCTATCTAGGATTGTATACGAGTATGTATAATTAATGTATAAAATTGTAATGTGTATAATAAATACAAAACATTGTGTAACCATAATTTTATTTTTTAAAGAAAAACAAATGTTATATTGCATTATGTATCTCTGTATCCTCATTATTTTGTTGAAGGAAATGCCAGCTTTATGTTTCCAGGAAACAATCACAACACCGGCTTGTTTTCAGAAAACGTCACTGGTGCGGACTCTGCCACCCAAGGGCGACAGTCCCAGCACCCACCAGTGTAGCATGTGTGGACTCTTTCCCGGAAGAAAGCTCCGTCTTCCCAGGAAACAGTCACACCAGCTTGTTTTGAGAAAACGTCAATGGTGCGGACTCTGTCACCCAAGGGCGACAGTCCCAGCACCCACCCGTGTAGCACGTGTGGACTCTTTCCCGGAAGAAAAGAACTCCAAGAACTTTTCAGCCTTTTAATAAGTCTTTGCGACACATCACTTTCATATCATTGGAAGCATGTAGAAATCTGCTGGTGATTCTAAAAAAGAAAAACATTTATATTTTTCGTTTCTCCGAATACCAAGTTAGATGAACGATAAGAATACAATTACGTTTACTTGTACCTGGCCATGCCACGAGCTCTTTTCTCTAGTCGGTGCATCGTGCAACGGGGATGGACTGCGCTGTTTGAAAGAATTGGGTGGCACTGTTTTAACAATTTATAACATTAATCGTCACGCGCATAATCGACATAACATAATACAAAAATAGATTTCAGTTACCATTATAATTAAGTGGTACAGCCAATGAATTATAGGATTGCCGTCCTCCCAACCATTCGGAAGCATGAAGAAATGTACCGTGTGTACCCCTGATGCACCGGAGACCTTCAGGTGTACGAGAAGTTGTGGTAACGGCAACATTATTGTCCCGAACCTGCGGGATGTGAGCTCGTTTACCTAATACCTTAGACTTTTCCGTCTGAAACAAAATTAAATGATAGTTTGGTATGTTACACAAATAAACATTACAATAAACAAGAGACGAGCTAATTGTAGCACATTACAAACAAGGATGAAAATAAAGAAACACAGATTAAGTTTAAAAATTTAAATATTTTTCCAAATAAAACTAACTTTGTATTGTTCCTGCCATATGTGGCTATATTGTTGAGGTCCCGGAACGTGACAAGCAATTCTTATGTCTTAAATCATTTTGTATCATAGATAGGAAATCAATTAAATTTTGAATCCGGCTAACACTTCCATTTAATAAATATTTAATTAAAATTATCTGGATCACTCACAAACCTTTTTAATTGCACTACAAACGTCTTCATACAAAATACCAACGATTTCATATAAAAATTTTATCTAATTTATCTATTGGCGCTAAGTATACGGTGGAAAAATAATTAATTAATTACAAACAAACGATTGACTCACAAACCTTTCTAGTTGCACTAGAAACGTCTACATACGAAATACAAACGATTGCATATAGAAATTATTTAAAAATACGTTCAGTCGGCGTCAAGTATGAGCGAATAGCCAGTCGTTCTGAAAAGAGATTACTGGGAGAGCTGTCATCAACTAATTCTGTTGCGACGTAAATATAGTGGGCCCACTACAGATCCTTGCCGAGCGAGGCTTCTGGAAAAAACCAAGCGCCCTTCGGACCTTTGGTCGAGCGCTCTAATCTTACGATAAGTAAAGAATAGAGGGATATGCTTAAGTCACCAGTGACGCATCTTCCGATAAGAATCGAGTCATCAACCCGAGACAAAGGCGATTCGGATGACGTTGTTCTTTGACGATCGAAGCTTCGATCGTCAAGGAACAAAGAACGGCGGATATATATATAGGGCCAACGGTCACGGCAGGACACTTCTAAGTCGTCTCTCGTAGAGCAAAGATCGAGCCCTTTTCCGAGTTCTCCGCTAAGATATATCGAGGCCGAGTCCTCGCGTTCGTGCGTTTGTGCGTACCGGAGACCGAGTTCTCCGCTAAGATATATCGAGGCCGAGTCCTCGCGTTCGTGTAATTTTAAATAAACAATCATTAACAAACGAAACTAGTGTATGGACTTAAACTCCCACACACGCAACAAATTCCATTCGCATTCGTACGTGACACATAGTTATCATATGCATGAAGCTTTAGTGGTTATATATAATAATATACGTCCGATCTGTAAATAAAATGAGGAAATGGATTGTGTATCTCTGAAACTTGTGGAGATTGCAAAAGTGAGCGAATTCACAGAAATTATAAATATTGAAATTATAAATATTCACTCACTTTTGTAATTGTCGTAAGTTTCAGAAATCGACCCCCAGATAACAACAGTTATACGCTGTATCTACGAGATCAAGATCGGTAAACTCATGGGCGAATCCTTAATCGCGTAAGGTGACGCCAGCGCTGAAAGTGGCAAAATTTCACTGGCTGGCACTAATGTCGGCCCACGTTCGGCGACATGATCCAGACCTAGTTCGGTCTCCTTATACATTCTCCATGATTTCGACAATGAAATTGTAGATTCCCATGGAGGTATGAAATAACAGGAGGGAGCGTAAAGCCTTCTAGATGGGGGGGGGGGGGTAACAACGCCAAATGTGATTGGTTGGCCACAGTAATATGGCGTTTTGTACTTTATTGATGCACTCTCTGCACCATCTTGCACTATAATACTATGTGCATCTTCTCTTTTCCTCTTATTAACCTAACATAACTTAACTAAACCAAGTAAGAAACACGTTTCGCGAATACATCGGATTTCGAAGTTATAAAATATTAAACAAAATGCCCATGCATTGCAGTGCAATAGGTTGCAAAAGCACCATAAATATTAATAAAGAAAAAGCTGCAGACATAAAGTTAGGAACAATAACAGAAATAACATTCCACGTGTAAGTACAGTTTATCTTGCGTACTTAAATATTAGCGTAAGTTACATAAAATGTTAAATCTTTATTCCGTTCCTGTTACCGTACGTTATAATACCAAATAGACAAAAAATTAAAAGTAAATATATCGATATATTTGTTGTAGATGATTGTTTGTTGTAGATTTCCTAGTATTCCAGACAGAAGAGCGAAATGGATAGAAATTATGAAATTGCAGAAAAAGGTTCTTGGTCCAGGTAGTCGGCTTTGTTCTCTGCATTTTGAAGAAAAATTTATTGATCGCACATCTGTAGCCTGTGTGAGATTGAGAGAAAATGCTATTCCTCATGTAAGTACTTTAAGGGGATGCTGGAGTGATTTTGCACTTTTGCACCTTTCTAACCTAAAAACTGTCAGTTCGCGGAAACATTTGTGTAATATACAAATTAAATGGCTTAGGTGTACAGATCGAAAGCAGCTCGCTATTCCGGCCATATGAAAGAACAATATGGCATCACTGAAACTAAGTTTGTAAGTCTAATAAGAAATAATAGCGAGCAACACATATATACAGTATATGTAATATGTGTGTTGCTCGCTCTTATTTTTTATTAGACTTACAAACTTAGTTTCAGTGACGTCATATTGTTCTTTAATTTAGCCGGAAGAGCAAGCTGCTTTCGATCATCTGTACACGTGCCATTTAATTTGTGTATTACACAAATCTTTCCACGAAACAGACAGTTTTAAGTGTAAAAGGTGCGAAAGTGCAGAATCACTCCAGCATCCCCTTAAATATTAAATAAACTGGTATGTCATTAAAAGTGAAAATTAGATAATATATATTAAAATTAGTACAATGTTTAAAAGAAAATATATAACATAATTATAATAAATGTTTATAGATATCTGAAGATATATTAGACAAAACAAAACATGAAGCAAATATAATTAATGCAACAAATAAGTTACCTTTGCAATCACTTGAAAATATACAGCAGGTTGATAAGCACACACAGTTTACATGTAAGTAATAGATAAGAAGTGTGAACAATAAACAAATAACTTTTATTCGAAGCAATAGTATTATATGATATGTATATTTTTGTAATAGATCCTATGAGCGCCAAAGAAACGTCTTTCTCGTTATTGCAAGAAACAAAATCAATTGATGACGAAGAAAACACAAATATTTCGCCAGATATTATTTGTAATTCGCCAAAAAGTACAAGAAAGAAAATCTTATGTAGTGATATTGATATGTTGCGCAAACGTGTAGAAGTTTTACAGATGTCACGTCCAGCGCACATTTTTCGCTGACGTGGCTAGTGACGATAGTAATTGCCCACCCGATAGGTATCACTGGCACGGCGCGGCTACTGGCACGCGCGCAACACGTGATTAGCAGATATTCGCTCTCCTTCTTTTCCACGTTTAACGATAAAATATAGCGATTAATTGACGATAACCGAGGCAGCCACTATAACAGACGAATCCTTGGCGCCTCCGCTTTCGTCCCAAATTAATAAACACTTAATACTAACGAACAATAAGTTAACATCGGCGATTTCCGTGGAAGGAGTGAACTCCACGGGAACCGTCGATCACAGCCGCGTGTGAGGGCGCTGTGCGCCTCCACCGGTAGCCACGATGGCAATCAGGACCAGTAAAAATCGCTGTAAATGAGAGAAATATACCATTTATAGAAATTCCGGCGAAGCTTCTAGAAGGTTCGATGCCTACGTGACTCGACGCGATATAGCGGAACTCTAGGGAGAAAAACAAGGGATCGGTATGCGGATTAATTAATCGGCGGCGCGCGGCAAATTTAAAGTTTGAAAAACGGCATAAGGATGAACGGAGGCCCTTTGCCAAGGTGACCAGAGCTCAAATTGTTTAGAGCACCGGAAGGTGCCATAATTAGCACTTTAGAGGAAAATTCCGAAGGGCCCCCGCTCATCACCACTTCCGCACTTGCCCTACAACCTAACAGTATATAAGCGGGCCGTCGGAGCCCCGAATTCGTAGTACGTTTTCCAACGTTCAGCAAGCCGAAGCTCTGCCCGAGAGACAAGCCTCAAGGGAAAATAAGTAAAGACGGCAAAGCTCTGCCCGACTATAATCCGGCATTGTTCTCTGCCTGTAAAAGGTAGACGGAGGAGTGAAAGTGTGATAACCGGAGTGAAAGTAAGTGGATTAGTACAGTGATACCTAACCATCATTTATTATCCTGCCCCGTCGAGGTAATAAATAATTACTGTCCGCGGAATACCTTGTTGTCCGGTAGTGATACTCTACCCCCGCCTCCTTCGGCAACGAAAACTGTGATACCTCCACCTTTTGGTTGCGCGCTCTCCACAGGGCGTTCTTCCAATCTTGCCTCCACCTTTCGGATGCGCGCTCGCTGCCGGGCGTTCTTCTGATCCATCTGCCACTTTGGTTGCGCGCTCTCCACAGGGCGTTCTTCCAATCCGTCTGTCATCTCGGGTGCGCGCTCTCCACAGGGCGTTCTTCTGAGATTCCTCCACCTTCGAATGCGCGCTCTTGCACAGGGCGTTCTTCGTTGGAACCGTTCCACCAGCCGGCATTAAGCACCCGGGTCCTATCTGAACCACGTACACCTGCTTCTCGTTTATACTTCCTTACGCCTCGTACCTCCTGTTTGTTTTGATTTTTCGCCGTCGTCTCCACTCCCCGAGTCAGACCCCACAAAAGAAAAGGGGGACTCATCCAGGTAAATCACGACCATTTTTCCATTACTACCGGCAATTTAACAGGGTCCCCTCGCTATTAGGGAAACCTCGAATGGGCACCTGGCACACGGGGAAGTCAAACCATCAAACAATGTTGTTACAGATATACGTTTTGGTTGTTCCGAACAAACAGTGAGCCAGTAAGGCATGCAAATAAGCAATCACTCAGGCCACGACAGCCCCGGCAAATCATGCCACTAATCAAGTTCCCTTTCCTTTTCTTTTCTTTATAAAAAACCGCTATAGCGGACAGGGACGATCTCGTTCCCTAATAGATTTTGCTTTCTTTCCTCCCTTAGTTATTCGCAATACTGTTCAAGTTTCTTGTTTCATGGTAGTTATAAGGTAGTTAAAGTGGACATAGCGTTGCAATGGAGTACAATGATGATAGCAACGCAAATGAATCCCAGTGATTAATAGCACGCTACTGAGTACTCCCATAAAAACCAATGCTTCCCGCCCACGAGTAAAGCAAACGGGAGGAGGAATACTGCGCAACTCCGTGCAAGTCCGTGTGTGCCAGAGCAGGACACAGTTATTTACCCTCCCCACTAATTAATCCCCACATTCCCTCTCGAGTGAATAACCAAAGTTAATCATGAGTGCCTTCCGCAGGGAGCCCCTGTCATGGGCTGGTCCTGCCGCTCAGGGCGGCAGCGCCAACTACGGCGTCTAGTTAAGGCGCACCAAGTGCGGGTGTTCGACCCGCGGGTGTTCGACGCACATCCCCACAAGGCCCCTGCGCCCGTGCCCCGGGAAACGCACCACCCGCCGCCGCCGCTCCCTCGCCCGCAACCTCCTCCACCGTACTCGCGACTTCCTCCACCGCATTCTCTCCCTCCTCCCCCGTATCCGCAACCGCTTCCTCCCAAGGCCCCTCCACCGCACGAGGGGACACCTCGGCCACCTCCGGTCCGCCCTCCCCCTCTTAGCACCAGCGAGTGCTGCCCAGAAAGGGTGTGGAAACCTCGGCCCCCTATCACCCCGCCGCCGCGAGCACCCCTGGTCTCGCTCCCGGGCCCCGCACCATCACTCGCCACAGGGAAACCAGCGATCGCCCGGGCGACCACCGCACGCCCACGGGTGGTCTCAAATGTCCCCCTTCAGAGGAAGATTAAAATCATCCTCCCTCGCATTAACGCTCCACGAAAGGCACGGAACATGCCATTATTATGACCCCCCCTTTTTTTATCACCCTGACACACATGTACACACAATAAAATAAATTAACCATGCAAACCACACTCATACATACACTCATTCAACCACACGCATACTAAATCTCAGATCACCTCCTCCTTTTCCTCTTCTTGTCAGGAGACCCCTGACGTTCCCGCCCCAAAGGTAAAACACGGGACGTAACACAGAGAAAAGTAAAACCAAAAATAAACAAATTGCTACTTTAAGTAATACTTCGAATAGGTTGAATGAAACAAACGCTAAAAGTAAATTAATATAACTCAAACACTTTTATAAATTATACATTTTTAAATACAGATTGTTTTCTGTGCATTATGTAAACAGTAATTTTTATATTGCAGGTTCAACATGTGACGGAGCAAGTAATACATCGCCTTCTTTATTGCACAGCATGAGAAAATCAGCAGAGGACAAAGCAACGAGTATTTCACCAAGACAATTATGGAAATCTTCAACAGAACGTGCAATTAGAGAAGGAAATGAGAAAATAGTGCAAAGTTTACGAAAAGAAATATATATAATGTTACGTAAAAAGCTCGTGGAAAAAGATAAGAAAACAGAAACACTTAATAGCGCATTGAATAAATTAAAACAAAGAAAATTTATTGATGACAAACAGTATGAAACGTTTCATAAATTTGGTAAAGCAAATGTGGAATTATTACGGAGACAGTTTTGCAAGCACGCCAGTATTTCTATGCCTAAACAATACTCTGTAGAATTGCGGTCTTTCGCACTGACCTTACATTATTACTCTCCCCGTGCGTATAACTATGTAAGAAATATGTTTCATAAATGTCTTCCTCATCCGAAAACGCTGAGTGCATGGTACACATCTATTAATGGTTCTCCGGGCATTAATATTGAAGCTTTAAATTGTATAAAAGAGAAAGCTGCTTTAGTCGATTTTCCATTATATGCATGCATAACGTTTGATGAAATGGCTATCAGACAAATGGTTGAATTTGATGGCTCTAAATATTATGGTTATGTCGATTTTGGGTTTGATTCCAATTCCAACTGCACGCTTGTTGCTAAAGAAGCATTAGTGTTTTTATTGACCTGTTTAAACCAAAACTGGAAGATTCCTATTGCCTACTACTTTATTAATGGTATAAGTGCTGAGGAAAAGAAGAATCTTTTATTAAATTGTATTTCTGCAGTGCAAGAGTATAATATTAAAGTGGTTGCTGTTACTTTTAATGGTCTTATAACCAATTTTAGGATGGCACGTTTATTAGGAACAAATTTCAATATCGATTCTTTACAGACATGGTTCCATCTACCGAATTCATCAGACAAAATCTTCATTTTCTTGGATCCAAGTCATTTACTGAAAATTATTCGTAATGTACTTGGAGAGAAACAAACCATGACAGATGCAAAGGGCAATACAATATCATGGGGATATATTAAAGAGCTGCATTTGTTACAAGAAAAAGAAGGTTTGCATATTGCAAACAAACTTCGGTCCGTACATGTAAACTTTTTCAAACAGAAGATGAAAGTGCGTCTGGCTGCGCAAACGTTTAGCAAATCTGTAGCAGATGCCTTGCAGTTTTGCAGCACTTTAAAATTACCACAATTTAAAGGATGTGAAGCTACAAATTATTTTATTCGTTTAATAAACGATTTATTCGATATTTTTAATAGTCGAAATATGAAACAGTTTGATTATAAGGCACCAATTAATTCTAATAATAAAGACATCTGTATGCAAAATTAAATGAATGTTTCAACTATATTTGTAGTTTAAAAGAAAGTCCACATGGAAACCTGCTCATCAATTCTCGTAGAAACGTTGGATTTTTAGGTTTTTGTATTTCAATTAAGAGTTTAATGGGATTGTATGACATGCTATGCGAAGGACCAAATTCTTCGTTATCATATCTTTGTACTTATAAATTAAATCAAGATCATTTAGAACTTCCTTACAGTATTGTAAGACAGCAATTTGGCTGCAATAACAACCCTAGTGTAAAGCAATTCCAAAGTGCAATGAAAAAAATTTTGCTTCATTTGGAGTTAAAAGAAGATTCATCTGGAAACTGTATTCCATTATCAAATATAAATATATTACATTTCAGCTCTTCCTTAAATTCAATTGCGACGATAAATAAAACCGCTAATAATGGAAAATCGACATTAGCAACTGACGAATCAGACTGTGATAATACAGACTTAGAAATATATGATATTGCATTGTATTATACTGAAAACTCGCAGATAACTACGAGATGCTTTCGCAGCGTTATATCATACATTGCAGGCTTCGTAGTGAAATTTTTAACAAAAAAAGTTCATTGTGAACAATGTGTCGACGCCTTAACAGAACTCCAGCCGAATTCTTTTCATGATTTAATTTCC